CGAAACCCTGGGGCTGGTGCCCAGGCCATGTTTTATCGTGTCCAATGGATCTGTAGTTGGTGGTGTTTTCCTTGGAAGATGTGACACATGGAGGTGGTTGTACAGATCTAGCGGCAGACCAGCTGGGCTTCGATGAGTTTTTAAGGAAGCCTAAAGCGCAACTAGCGACATAACCCCGCTCTATGATCGAGCTTCGGGCCCGATCGTTGGGCCTGATCGTTGGATGCGACTCGGGCCGGTGAGGTCCACCGTTCTAGCCATCAAGTGGGGTAAAGTGGATCTATGCTACAGTTATTTAGGCTTTCGCGCTGTTGCTCAACAAATCCATTTATTATGTCCTTGTTCTTGCCACGTGACAATTGACAGGAACCTATCACGATGTACGTCGCAGCGTGGGCGTGGGCGTGGGCGTGTCATGCGAGAGGCTCCTTTCCCGGCCAATAGAAGACGCCCGGCCTCCAGCAGCAACCCCAAGCCAAATGCGGATCTTCACAAGTGCGTTGACGGGGGAAGTGAGAAGCTATCTCATCATTTCACTTGAAACAATCTCGTAACCTCAACGTGATCGACAATCCTGCAAGCCTCTCAAGAGAATGCAATACGAATAGAAATCAATATAGTGAGTTGGCAGAGGCTATTTTCCCATGGCAGAGGCAATTCCGACAAGCCTCACTGGCAAGGCATACGAGCGATTCGTGATTATTACAACACTACTCCATCTGATTGACCCCGTACGTGGTGAGCCCACCACTTATAGCCTCGATAGGCATCCCCACGATGATTTCTGGAAGCACGAGCAGCACCAGAGAAAGTTCCTCGACTCGTTCGCTTTGGTATCTCCGACATCAAGGATAGGCGGCAAGACTGCTTCAGCAGTATGTTTGGAGCAGGGCCATCCAGGCGGGACTGTCCTTCGACTCGCCAGGAATCTGGGCGCTCCGGAGGAACTGCTCAACCAACTGCAAGATATTCTTACCGATCTCGCAGCAGTTTCTCTGAGGGGTATTCCACGGCGGGATTGAGGCAGTCACTGATGAAGTGCTGACTAATACGAACCCTAGATAAGAAACCGTACGACCTCGAGCCTGTGGTGTTGCGAAAGGTCGTTGTCCTTACTCAAGACAAGATCCGCGCACTCGTGGAGAAGATGAACCTTCCGGAAGTCAGACATACCATCGATCGTGCTATCCAAAGGATGGACCAGATACGCTCGGATGACGTTGAAGAACTGGGTTTTAGAGAATGGGTCCGTAACATGCCATTCCTGGCGTCTCTCGATGCCGGAACTCATTCTGATCAGCTCATTCCGCATGTCAAGTGGGCATCGCGCGGTAGATGGATGTATTCCGAGCAGCTTGAAGGGCTCTTCGGGCTGGAGGATGGGTCGTTGCCCATATGGTTGAAGTACGTCTATAAGTTAGGGCGATACTTTGCTGCAACCAAGGCGATGCTCAAGTTGGCTGTCAAACAGCCAGACATTTTCACCGGCATACACATCGAAGCCATCAAAGCACCGGAGCAGGAGGAATTCTCTCTAGGCACGCAAAAGGAACCGCTCTTGACAATGCTCAAGAAAATTGCCCCAAGCGATCCCATAGCTTTGAGGGAGAAATTAGGTCAAACCTGGCTGACAACCGACCCCGAGACGAAATTACGACGAGCTTGCAAGATGACACTTGTTGTGCATGCTGAAATGCAGCTGCTCAGCTTTTACGACCACCATCCTGACCTGACACCCAGGCTGTTGTTTATGGGTACTAGCAAGAAGGCTTGCTATCTCTGCAACGAGTTCATGTCCCGCCATCCCCTCAACATTGGAGTATCGGCAAGCCACCAGAAAATTTACCCAGCCTGGATGTCACCGCCATGCCATGCTTCCATCAGGAAGCAGCAGAAAGTCCGGCTCTGGGAGCTCAGCCGACATCTGGAACAAGCGGCTGTGCGTGACCTCGAGACGAGACTGGGAACCCGCCGACCAATGACAATGGACTCAACAGCGGGGCCGTCACTTACGACGACGGGAACGATCTCGTCGGGATTCTGGTCCCGCGATTCGAATTTGGGCGAGCTCGAGACAGATGAGGAGTCAGTATCCTTCATCACACAAAGTATGAAGTCTACGGCAGTCCAAGAAGACGGGGCTGAGAGGCAAGGTTATGGCATCCAGAACAGCTAGTGGCCGATCCTGCCTAATTGTCCCCGACAGCCGGATTGTCGGCCAAGATTCAAATGAACTCTTCAATAATCCTTCAACTGGCTTCGAGCATTCAATCCATTTCATCAGCGCCGACTTGTTCTCGCCCCGAACGCGCATGCCAAATGAGCCCAGGCCGGGATCCCGACGACGCGCACGAATGACGGCCGAATTGCATGTTGACCAGTCACTGCCAATCTCGGGATAGGCTAGGTGTGGCTCAAAAGGACTTGCCGGAACTGTCGACCGCAATCGGTCAGATATCAGGCTAAACACAGTCGACGTCGCATTCTAGCATCAGCTCATCCTTATGGAACGGTGCAGCTGCCTTATTACGGCATGTGACAACTTCTGGATGAGACAATTTTGGAAAAAGCCATATTCCCGCCGTGTTGGAAACGTTGAGCCAAACCTACAAGAGATGGAGGGGAATAGTAGCGTGGCGCTTAGGGGCTTGAGCCAAAGGTGGAGAAACCTGGACACGAATGGGTTATCCTTACATTCGGTACGGACCATCAACCAACGATCTCAATATTGCCGTGGAGGCGTCGTTGGTCTCCTTTCAATCAGCACATGAACACCTCATATTTCGCTCACGGTTCGGCCGGATGCGACGCTGCTCGAAGGATTATAAAATCGAAGTAGACTGTGGTACCTATAATGGCAGCTAGTCATATTTGAAGGATCTCAGACTTGAATACGGGCCAGTATGTGTTTTCAGCCCAGCGGGCGAGGTGCTGCATGGCAAGAAGCACAGTAATGATCCCGAACTCGGTCGACGTCTTGCCGAGCTCGACGTCGCTGTAAAAAATGGACT